GATGCGCCCCATGCTTCATCTCCTGAGATCTAATGTGCACTTAACCCTGGACGCAGATTTGCGGACAACATAAGCCTTCACTTATTCTACTTGAGAAAATAACTTCAGAGTAATCAGAATGAATTAAATGTAACAATTTATTATCAGTCAGGTAAATATGTATTGTGCCAATTATCTCCACAGCCAATTCAACTATATCAAATCAATACAAGACATCAAATTCTCAAAGACAAATCTAAGAGTAAGATGCATACCTGACTTCGTGTGAAAAATACATAGTGTGAATTTTGTGGACACCTTCACACTACGGGCTTTCTGGCTACAGAATCGCCCTGACCCTTTTGCTGCAATCCTTTAAATACAAAACTAAGAAAAGACATCCTCCAAATGGAGGCCTGTACAAACAATTGGAATTTGCATTAAGCCAGGTCTCAGACCTGGGTGGTCTACACCTCAATGGGGACAAAAGGTAATTTGCATGGGATTGCTCTCTACGGTGATCAAAGTTTTTCTTAACTCTTAGGATCTGTATTATCTTTTAGTAAGATTAAGACCATTGTACCACTTGCCCTGAAACTATTCAAATGAAACCAAACATGACTGTAAATCTTATTTGCATTCATTTAGAACATTATATTCTTGACCAGTTTGAGTGAATCCAGTGGAGGGAGGAGATGAAGATGCCAGTGCATTGTTTGCCTCTCAGGAGATCAAAGTATTCTAGTTTCTTTTATCCTTACAGTAGTATATATAATATATAATATATATAGATAATATATTCACTCAAAAAATTCATTCAGAATTTTAGGGTGGGTACGATTTTTAAAACAGCTCACAAAGACTGCATTTATTTGCTAAAACACTGTAAAAACACTAATATTATGAAATATTATTACAATTTAAAATAACTGTTTTCTATTTTAGTGTATGTTAAAATGTAATTGATGGAAAAACGTAATTTCCCTTGTTGTTTCTCTAGTTTCCAGTGTCACATTATCTTTTAGAAAAAATTCTAATGTGCTGATTTGGTGCTGAAGTAATTTCATATTATTATCAGTGTTGAAACTTAATATTTTTTCTTTGATGAATATAAAAATTCAAAAGGAGAGGATTTATTTGAAATAGAAAACTTTTGTAACATTATAAAAAGCTTTACAGCCACTTTTGATGAATTTAATGCATCCTTGCTAAATAAAACATAAAAAAAATAGCTTTTGGACTTTTATAGAAATCAAGTTCAAGAGAGATCAAGTTTTATAGTCGTATTCTATTCCAAACATAGCCCAAGTGACCAATAAAATGTCCTGTTGTGTGCTGTTTGTCATGGATGGTCCTGAGAAAAACTTAAATTAACATGGAAGGTATGTGATTTATCGGTTGTCAAGTCTGATTATAACACAGTGTTATGCATATGAAAAGAGTGCACCAATGGATGTCCATAAATGTAGCAAGAAATTACGTTCAGCTGATATTCATTCACTCTCTTTCTGTGCAGCCAGAGAATCTGTTGTACTACAGTATGGAAGAGGACTCTAATATCATGATCAGTGACTTTGGCCTGTCTAAGATCGAGGACTCGGGAAGTGTGATGTCAACTGCTTGTGGGACACCTGGATACGTAGGTACGAATGAGGGCTATTTTTCCTGCCTTTTTCAATCTATTTTACCGTCTTTAGCAAGGGTCAGTAATGTGTCGGTTTTTAGAGGCTCGCAGTCATTTGAAATGCCATACAATGTCAAGTGCTAGCATTTTAAAGTGCCTCTTTGTTGCTGCCCTCATTCTCTACAAAGCTCAAAAGGAAAGGGAACTAAACAGAGAAAAAGTAACACTGAAAATTTCATATTATTATCAGTGTTGAAACTTAATATTTTTGTGGAAATCATGATACATATTTGAATTCAGGTTTCTTTGATGAATATAAAAGTTCAAAAGGAGAGGATTTATTTGAAATAGAAAACTTTTGTAACATTATAAAAAGCTTTACAGCCACTTTTGATGAATTTAATGCATCCTTGCTAAATAAAACATAAAAAAAATAGCTTTTGGACTTTTATAGAAATCAAGTTCAAGAGAGATCAAGTTTTATAGTCGTATTCTATTCCAAACATAGCCCAAGTGACCAATAAAATGTCCTGTTGTGTGCTGTTTGTCATGGATGGTCCTGAGAAAAACTTAAATTAACATGGAAGGTATGTGATTTATCGGTTGTCAAGTCTGATTATAACACAGTGTTATGCATATGAAAAGAGTGCACCAATGGATGTCCATAAATGTAGCAAGAAATTACGTTCAGCTGATATTCATTCACTCTCTTTCTGTGCAGCCAGAGAATCTGTTGTACTACAGTATGGAAGAGGACTCTAATATCATGATCAGTGACTTTGGCCTGTCTAAGATCGAGGACTCGGGAAGTGTGATGTCAACTGCTTGTGGGACACCTGGATACGTAGGTACGAATGAGGGCTATTTTTCCTGCCTTTTTCAATCTATTTTACCGTCTTTAGCAAGGGTCAGTAATGTGTCGGTTTTTAGAGGCTCGCAGTCATTTGAAATGCCATACAATGTCAAGTGCTAGCATTTTAAAGTGCCTCTTTGTTGCTGCCCTCATTCTCTACAAAGCTCAAAAGGAAAGGGAACTAAACAGAGAAAAAGTAACACTGAAAGATTTTCTGTCTCTCCCACCCTCTCAATCAGCTCCAGAGGTCTTGGCACAAAAACCATACAGTAAAGCTGTAGACTGTTGGTCCATAGGAGTGATTTCTTATATTCTGTGAGTATTTCTTGATCTGCATCTGTCATATCACAACAATTTGGTTTGCGACACTGAATAAAAAAGAAACTGCGACTTTTTATCTCACAATTCTGACTTATTTCTCACAATTGCGAGTTTATGTCTCGCAATTCAGACCTTTTTCTCAGAATTGTGTGATGCAAATTCGCAATTCTGACTTTTTTTTCAGAATTGTGAGATATAAACTACAAGCCAGAATTCCAAGATAAAAACTAGCAATTCTGAGAAATGAGATCAGATTGTGAGACATAAACTCAGAATAGCGAGTTATAAATTCAGAATTACAAGATATAAAGTCAGAATTGCGTGATATAAACTAAAGCAATAAGTCCCAAGAAGCCGTGGTTTACAGTTTATAACAACTAAGGGGCATTGTTAGGCACGACGCCTTAGCTGTTATAAATTCACTGCAAACCACAGCTTCACAGGCCTTATTGCTTTTATAAAACGGTTATTCCATATACGTAGTAAGGTTTCATAGAATAAAACAGAGCAAATAAAGTGTAATGATATAAATAAAAACAGTATTCTTCCACCAAACAATGTAGTTCCTCAGAAACAGTTGTGGTTCCAACAAAGTGGTTGCAGTGCAACACACAGAAGTAAACAAAGGTGTATGCTTGTAGTGTAATTTATAGGGATGCACCGATACCACTTTTTCCAATACTCGCCCGATACCGATACTTTTATTTTTGGTACTTGCCGATACCAAGAACCGATTTTTTTTATAGCATTTGTAAATTTTTAAAATATTGGGTACAGAAACCAAAAGAGTATGTAGTGCAAACCTCAACTTCACTGTTTTTTCCCAGACTCGGTCTGAATAATTTTTGGTCCCAAATTT